GGCCTTAGGCTGTTTGCCAGTGCAGTGCAAAGGCTGCAGCATACATCCTCTTATGTTTGCCAGACTTTAACCTGTATTCTCAAACCTGCTGTACTTATTACAGCACCCTCTGTCATCCCTTCTCCGTGCACAGGCAAACCCTCTTGACGTGCCAAGCAGCTGCTGCCCACCCACTGCTGCTCAGTAATTGTGTTTCTGGGCATGTGTACATAATACCTTGTAAAGCACTTCGACTTTTTTCTATGGATTTCAAGAAACTATTAAAGGCATGAAGTATTGTCATCTAGATCTCAGTACACAGAGTGTGGAATCAATTTTTTAGGTTTTCAGAACTTCTCCATTCTTACACATGCAGCCAAAGTGACCAGATTCTGGTAATGGAAGCGTAAACAAGGCCTATTCAAAATTTTGTGTTTAATGTCCTTTGTATGTAAATCTAGTTAAGCCTTTTGTTAGTATCTCAGATTAAAAGTAGTAACAACTAGGAACAACCTTCAAAGCAAGTGTTTAATGAACTTACAAATGGTACCTCGGATTTTCAGTAATAGTTTGTCATCATGGATATTCACATAAGGTATCAAATATTTCCTTACCTGTGGAATAGAAAAGAAAGGCAATCCTCCTTAAACAAAAGAGATGAACTTGGGCAGTCTTCCATAGGAAGCTGATGTCCATATCCTGACAGTGATCTGCTAGGAGTCCAAGTCAGCTGCCAGATCAGTGGTGCTCAGATGATTGACAGCTGAAATACCTTAAGGTCCAGACTCTACTGCTTTGTTTTCACACTGCTCACAATCCAATGTGTCTCATCACGAGAATGGTTCTCCCATGGTCTGTCTGGATGGTACCTTTAACTAAAAAGTCTCCTTTCTGTAACCCTAAACATTTCTATTTTCTTTATTGCTTATCCTGCAAATAGAAGTAGATTTTTATTGCACTCTAGTCATCTCTCAGCCCCACTACACACATTTACCTCTTTCAGTCATCCAGAGAAGTCCATCCTCAAGCACAAGAGACATTTCTCTTTGCAGAAGTCTCTGAGATTGTGCATATGTACACTTTAATAAGGTCCCTGGGACAAATTGCCCAATTCCTAGTTCAGCCTTCCTAAAAAAAAAAAAAACACAACCAACAAAAAAACCAGAAGTATATGAAATATTCTTTTTCTGTTTCTCTCTCCACATACAGCACAAAAATTGATATTGGCTTGGTTTTCCCCAGACACGGTACCCTCCAACTTATGTTCGGTTTGTTTTCCACAGATGCTTTTTGTTCTCTTTCAGTTTTAGCACTGTCTGCATTTTTCACTCATTCACTGTTCAGCTACATCCTTGATTTGCTGTGGAAATCATGATTAATCTCTCTGAGATTTGTCAAGTGGCTTCAGTGGAAAATTGGTGCAAGAGGAGAATCACAGCCTCTGTGGCTCAGTCTTCTCAATGTCTTGGTTTTGCTTATGCTTCTGCTCTTTTCCTTCCTATGTATAGTTACTGACACCAAGACCTCTGGTTTAATCTCTTCAGATTTCATTCATCTACCAATTTTTTCATACTTGTATGCCACTAATGATCATAAGCCAAACCCAACTTTATATGTTGCCTATGCACTAAGAAGGCAAAGGTAATGTTTCTACCACACATAGTCTGACCTTTTGTGGTTTGGGGTTTTTTAAAAAAACATTCTTTCTTTTGCCTACTTTAACTAACTCTCATGAGCTCTATTTTGACATTTTTAATATAAATGTATTTTTTTACTCTGATCTTTGATCTTTAGCTAGTCTTGTAGAAAACCACTGTGACCACATTTGTTCCTTACTTTCTTCTCCTTGGAAAGTATATACAGCTAAGTTTGAAGTATTCTGACATTTTTTAGGATATTTACTATTGTTGGCTCTTTTTTTTGCTCAGTTGTTAAGTTTAGGTTTTGACTACCCTCTGCCCACAAAGGTTCTAGATCAGCCCTTTTTTTTTTGCAGTGATCAAATATATTGTTTGCTCTCATTCACTTTAAATCACACTCCTAGAAGGCTACACTATTCTCCCCCTCTCTCCCCACTGCTTTTTTCGGGGGGTGGGGTGGGAGAGAGGGGTGGGGCTGGCATGCTTTTGGGTTTGTTTTGGGCTTGTTTTAATTATTATTTGGAATATTCTTATAAGAGAGGATGCAGCATTACAGAAAATTCTGCTGGGAAAACTTTCAAAAATACATATAAAGCATACAAATAACTTGATTTGCATAAAGGCATTGATTGAATGACTCTGTGGTTATTCTACAGGTTTAAGGCAGGAAAGGGCATTTAGGAATTCCTCCAATTAGGAAGCTAAGTGGCTAAAATGTCCCTGCATTGTCTGGTTTGTGTGTGTTTGTTCTGAATGCCCATATGGAGGCTGATGGTTTTAAATCTCAGCAAACAGGGCTTTAAAATTTGAACAGAAGGTCACCAACTACTTTTTGAATAAAATGTGTTTTGCTGTTTTGCGAAAACCTGCCTTCGGTAGAAACGCAGACTTCCAGAATGTGTAATTTCGTTTTGCTAAAACCTGCCTTTGGTACAAACGCAGACTTCCAGAATGTGTAATTTTGCTTTGTCTGTTGGAGCTTGGCGGCTAAAATTGCAGAAGATGCCTTGTGCAGAAACCCTGCCCACTGCTGTACTGCATGGGCCCTGCTGTGTGCACCACAGCTGCTTGGCAGGATGCCACAACTCTGGGCTGAGAAGTACTTCCTCTGCAGCAGTCTTGCCCTGAGAAATTGAAAAAAAATGGGCACCAGAGCAGGCAGCAGAGCTATACCGCGATGCCCATGCTGTCTTCACTGGGAAATAAGGAAAAGGAGGGGCCAATCTGTGAAGATGTGGAACACAGTGGGATTAGGGAATGTGGGCAATAAAAGGAAATAATGAGAATTTATGGGAGCTGTTCATGTATGGAGATATATATACATACGTATAAATACGTGCATATGTTTTGTTTCTATGTGAAGAGGCATGGCACAGGACTGGGTAGAAGCAGAAGGGGATGGAAACGTCCAGAGTCCATCCAAGACTTTTATCCATGCAAGCAAAACTAAGTCTGTCTCTTCAGGAACATGACAGGCACAGCATCTGAGAAGTGCAAAGAGATTTTGCACAAGATTTTCTGACGCAACCATTCTTTATTTTCAGGTGCTTATTAAAAGAGCTGTGCACTTCTACACCAATTAGCAGAAGGACCTACATTTCTTTTCCCGCACCTCAGTTCCCCTACCCATCTGCAGCACCCTTTCAGAGCACTAGGAACTACAGCTTTTCCTCAGAATCCGCTGGGTTTTTTCCTTCTTGCCTAGATCAGTTTGCTGCCTCTGACACTGATGAGTCCCAACATTCAAACAGAATTCTCCTTCTGAAAGAAATCCAGTCTTCCTCTCATTTATTCTAGTGACTCCACAGTCTCCCCTGCTTCTTTCTCCTCTGACTCTATTTTTGGTCTTGTTATAACTGTATATATCTCTCCTGTTTGGAGTCTTCCATTTTCATATTCCTGTGGACAGTAAAACCAGAGATTGCTTTTCTTAACAGCAATACCATTTACTAGAATTTTGAATCTCTACGTGAATAGGCATATCTCACCCACTGATGCCCAGACAGGCAGTGGCTACTCACTGAAAATTTACTTTACAATTGATATGGTCTTCAAGCATCAATATTTTGGAAATTGTGTAAAAATGACTCACTCTTTCTCTTGCCTAGCATATTCAATACATTTTGGTAATTTCAATTTAAAAGGTGCTGAACCTGTTTTTCTTTAGAATGAGCATTGCTCAAATAACAGCAGTTTCATCTGCCTCATTTATAGCATTGAGGAGAATGCTCCACCATCTACTGTATTACAGATTCTTGTGAATTTTCTCTAGCAGCCACTTATGACAACTGCAAGCTTGTTTTACCCTGGGGATATATATGTATGTGGCCAGTTGCTTCAGGTCATATTCCTTCCAAATGGAAGTCAGCTTGACAGCTGTTAATTTGCACTTGGCCATTCCATGTGTTGTTTTGCTCTAATTATTGGTCACTGTATGGAACAGGTGACAAGTGCCCACATGAGTACCCTTTAAATCACTAGATGTACAATCATTAGGAAAACAAACAGGAAAGGTCGTTAAACACTAGTTTTCTCTCCAGCCCCAAACAGGAACCGATTTTAGCTGGTTTTGACATGTGCTAGAAAGGGATGGACAGACAATACCTCACTGCTTATGAAACTAGTTTCCCATTCTGTAAGTGTCCTAGTTTCAGGGAAAGGG